ACAAAACAAACACACCCAGAGGGATCAAAGACCAGAAGGGAAAGTAAAAGTAAAACAAAACCGTGTTTTGAAAATGTCATGATTCTGAAGCCAATCTCATGATTTCAGGATGTTTGACCCACAGTATCTGAATGCTTGGGATTTTGTTAGCTAAACAAAAAAACAAAAGGGAAGAAGAGGAAAGCAAGTGGATGAGACTTAAAAGGAGACTGAGGGATGTTGGAACAAACAACAAATCAGTAGACAGGAAAAAATGTCCAGAGCTAAAAAAACAAAACAAAACAAAACCAACAGAAAGTGCCATTGATGACATCATTAGAAGTTCCCAGCTTCAGCTGCTTCTCTCTGTTGCTGACTTTTGTCAGAGTAGTTTCTTTTGTCCCTGAGCTCACAAGGCTTGGGATGGGGGTTTTGGAGAATGGGGAAGTGTGGACCATGACGACTCCAGACTAACTCCAGTTTGGGTGTCTCCTGCCCAGACCAAGAGATGCTGGGAAAAGAAAGGTATCCCTGGCCTGTTCTCAGCTTCTCTTCTGTACTGCTGTCCAGACACAATTTTATTACCGAATTTTGCATGATTTAGCACATTAGGATTTAGGCAACAGTTTCATTTCCCTAGAATTTCTTAGGGCTTTTCTTAGACCTTTACTATGGCTTTGTACATATCTATCCATAACTGGCATAGGTACTTTTCACATGTTTCCACTGAATGTTTGAATCCTTGTTCTTATCTTCAGTTGGCTCAGAAAGCATATTTTTTCTAATTATGTCCAAATCAGCTATCTTCTGTATTGTACATGTGTAACACATATCTTCATTTTCAATTGGTAAATGCTTTTGTGTCAAGCAATTTGTTGTAGAACAATTTCTCATAAATTTAAATGGTCAGATATTTTTGGTAGCATAAGATATTTAAACATTCTAGCAATTTGGAAATCTTAAAACCCCAATTATCTTTGGACAGATGTCCCCCTGTAAAACCGGAGATCTTCATGACAAAAACCTACTTTCTTATACCAGTAGTAAAAAATTAACTCTGAGTAAAGTGATACTAAATATTTTTGTAAATATTACAACAAATATTTGTCTTAGGCAGGGAAGACTATTTAATAAGATAGTGCTACATCCTGCTCAGTTACCTGAAAATAATTCCAATGACTTCATTTAATGTATACACAATCTACTTAATTCTTTGTGGCAAAACCACAGGCAATTACAACTGGCCAGAGTAAAACATAGCAGTTTGGATTGAGCAGGGGTTATAAAATTCATTCACGTGGATATTTTCTTTGAAGTCAAGCAGTACTGTTTCATTCCCGAGTTTTAAATAAGCACAAACTTTAAGTGAAGTCAGAACCACTGTGTTTCAACTGTTTGTCTGCAATCACGTGAATCTCATAAGTTCAACATACAGAGATTCCAGCTGGAGGGGAAGAAGTAACTGGAGGGACTGGGCAAAAATGGCCCCCAGTTGGCACCACCCCTACCTCGTTCACCCTTTTTGGACCACTAGGACCCAGGTTGTGCCTCTTTTCCCTCCCCCCCCCCCTGTGGGGATGGGAGAAAACTGCAGAGAGGAGCTGGCCAGAGGTTCCAGCTGGTAGGAGCAGAAGCAGCCAAAGAAGGAGTCTTCAGATATTCAGAGAACTTTCTACAGTTTTGACTGGGCTCTCTCTGTCTAGTATCTGTCTATTTGCTTCAGCCCTACAACCCATCTGCCCCCCAGCCCAGTCTATTCCCCAAGCTCCAATCCATACCTACCTCACTTATGCTATTCTCCTGTCATGTTACTCTTGTTACTTTCCTTTCCATTTAACTGCTCCGTTCTTCAGCAATCCTCCCCCATATCATGGAATAAACATGACATTTGCCACCCTCACATTGTTTACTTTGCCTGTGTGTTTTACCTCTTTCCTCACCACATGTCTGTCTTGCAACCATTTAAATCGTACTGTTTGTACTTAATAAAATTATTTTTATTTACTATCAACCTCGGTGTAATTCTTGTTACCTGGGGGAAACAATCAGTGTGTACATCCTCCTTTCATTGTTAAAGGGGTCATGCCTGAATGACTTACTTGGAGTTCTAGTCCCATTTGGGGGTTGTTTCCTGGATGCTGTACCTGAAACCTTCCTTGAGTGAGGAACTGTCTACTCTGTGCAATTTTTGACTGACCTGTTGGAACTACCATAATACACATATTACATTAAAAAAGGGTTCCATCACGAAACAAACTGGCTAGGATTGCTCAAACTGGGTTCAATTTTAAAACTTATATTTACATTTATAACTCTCATAACCCTTGTAATGGAACCAGAAAGTCATATAGATTTCTGGATGTATTGCATCATCCTAATCATGAGTAGAAGCAGCTGTTATTATGGAATTTTTTACTATGCACGCAGTTTCCTATATTGTGTACTGTCCTGTTACATTTCAAAGAACTTTCTGGTCTACAGAGGCCATCACACACACACACACACACACACACACACACACACACACGTGATCTCTGCTGGAGACTTCTGTTTTTTCCTGCTTCCACAATGGTCTGTTGTTTTTAATCTAAGATTACAGGCATTTTGGCTTAAAAAAGTGCCATTTTGTTTTTTATTCATGAAAAATCATACAGAAACATTCTTCTTAAACTATTCCCTCTCCACTCAATAAGATTCTTGGCAGCTGTTGAGGTATGAAAAAATAATAGTTTTTGGAAGAAGCTTATTGCTTCACTGCAGACATTAAAAACAACAATGAATATTGTTTTCGTTTTGGGTAACTTATCCTTTTGTCCATAAGTCACTTTTTATTTGATACCCTAATGTCAACATATTTGTAATTTAAGTTATTGTTCATTCTTAATTCAAGAATGGTTTTTTGAATTAAGTAATTCAAATTCAGCCATAACCAGTTAATTGCTACCCAGTTTACCAGGAGCACCTGTGAAGGCAAACAGGCTTAATCCAAAATTCATTGCAATCAGTAAAAGCCTCTGCTGATTTCAATGGACTTTAGAAGAAGCAGTTACTGACTGGTTCCTTTTCACTGGAGTTCAGGGATAAAAAAATAATAGGAATACTTCACTTTATAAGTATTTTGAACATGCAAAGAACTGTGCAGTTATTAATCAATTAATTCATGGGAAACAGTATTCATGACATTCTGTTTTTTACCTCTGAGAGCTAGATAATTTTGTCACTGCTTTCCCTCTATATAGTATATTGAATAGGACAAGGAATAAAGGTTATGTCTTTGGAGAAGGGTCAGAGAAGAGCCATGAGCATGATTAAAGGATTTGAAAAATGCCTTCTAGAAAGAAGCTCAAGGAGCTTAATCTAGTTATTTTAACAACAAGAAGGTCAAGGAGTGATTTTATTGCCATCTAAGTGCATTCGGGGGAAAGAGAAATTAAATAGTAGCAGGGTCTTTAGTTTAGACATCAAAGATATAACAAGATCCAATTGCTGGAAGTTGAAGCTAAAAAAAAATTCAAATAAAAACTAATTAAAAAAATTAGTGAAGGTAATTAACCACAATTTATCAGAGATTCTGTATCAGTGGAAATCTTTAAGTCAAGGTATGTGCTAGTTCAATAACTGTTGGATAGATAACCAGTAACTTGACAGTTCCAAGACCCTGGTATTATAAGGTGAGAGTTACCACAAGTGAAAAATACTGAGGCTTTATTCCCATATTTATAAAATCACAAATCCAGGTTGAACTTTATTTCCTCTAGACTTTCATTGAGAATTTGGGTATCCTACCTGTTAGTCTCGGCTCTGATATACTCTTTGAAGAGAGGTATCCTATGATGTTATGATATAGTACTTTCTGATACAGTTGTATCAAAGGTACAGGTTGAACCTCTCAAGTCTGGCACCCTGGGGACCTGACTGGTGCCGAACCAGAGAATTTGCCGCACCCTGGGGAAGTCACTATGTTAATAAGTAGGTTTCTTTTTTTTTGCTGAGGCAAATAAATGGAACAGAGCTCACAATACTGCTTAATAATGTAGGACTGTACTGATACACCCGATATAAACCTATGCCTAGTCAAGGTTTATTATCAGCGCTCTTCATAACAAAGTGTTAGTGTTACATGCTCTTTGTAAAAGCGACGAGGAGTCCTGTGGCACCTTATAGACTAACTGAAGTGTAGGAGCATAAGCTTTCGTGGGCAAAGACCCACTTCGTCAGATGCATGCATCTGAAGAAGTGGGTCTTTGCCCACGAAAGCTTATGCTCCTACACTTCAGTTAGTCTATAAGGTGCCACAGGACTCCTCGTCGCTTTTACAAAGAGCATGTAACACTAACACTTTGTTATGAAGAGCGCTGATAATAAACTTTGTACTGGCACAAGGAAATAAGTAGATGAATCATAAATACTATGCTTATGCTTATCAGTATTACCAACACTTCCACTGCTTGCTGGGCTCTTAGAAGGCATTTAGGGGTAAATCAGAGCTAAATAACAGCATAAAACACTGAGAACCAGGACTGGCAGCTATAAACAAACTTTAGAGGACTGCAGGAAACTTGGCCAAACCCATGATAAGCAGATATCCAGCTAACTAAAATCATACCAGACCACAAATGTCTCCAGACCAGAGAGTGCTGGTTTAGAAAGGTTCAGCCTGTGTCTTATAGGTATAGATTTTTTTGAGTATAAAATGTATATCTATCTCCTAGGAGTCATTTAAAGTGCAAAGTGACAATCTATGTGTGAAAAACAATTTTTTATTCCCCTAAAATGAACTTAATTGCCTTTTCTTAAACTAAGAGGTATACTGGGGTTGGTGATAATTTTAGCACTGAGTACCCATTTTCCTCTCATAACCCATGTAATTTAGCATAGAAAAGTTTTTTGTGCAAGCTTGATAATAAAATGTAACCTTTTGAAGATTTGCTATTCCTGGAATTGAAGAGATGGAGAGTGGAAGAAATAAGCTATGAGATCTAGTTTATTATACCTTTTTATAGGAGGCTTCAATGGCTTCCTTGAAGGAGGAAGATGATGTGACTTGTACACGTGTCCTTCTTGAGAAAAAAAAAGGGATCCCAGAGAAACTTCTCCCAGAACCAGACTGTGCACTCTTTATACCAATGTCAGAGTTCAGAGGAATTATATCCTGGTAGAAATCGGATGCCACATCATCTTCTTCGTTTTCTACCTAGAGAGGCAGAAATGTAAAACAAGCTCACCTAAAAGGTTGTTCATTAGATTATTAAATAATAAAGGTCTGAACATTTCTGGGAGCAACACACTTGAATGTTTAATGACCGACAAAATGACAAGAAAAAGTCACTACACAAGCAACAGTTTCATAAGTTGATAGTTAAAGTGTGCAAAAGATACATTCATAGAAAGATATTTAGACATGAAAGTAGGTCAGACAGGTGCTTATGCATGCAGTTGTTCATTTATACATCCAATATATATTTGAATGCACAAAGTTTCAAGTGCAACTCATGTGTCAGATGTTAAAAATGTGTCTGAAAATCCAAAATAATACTTCCCACTTTCACTTTGCTTTTCATGTTGATATTCAAAGGCTCTCAGAACTTCTGGGGTTGCAAGTCCCTTCATACATATGAGAGATAAGACAAGTGAATTGCCTCAAATAAAAAATGAGCCACATTTTCAGTCCAAACTCAAGCAAATACAAAATATAACATTTTAGAAAATTCGAAAAAGATCAGTTCACTTTAGTTTGAGTTTTTGTCCATTCCTCATTCTGCACACTACTCTACTCTCTGATTTGAGCTGGGAGCATGCAGGAAAGAACTGAAATACTATGAGCAAGTCTATTCTTACAGAATCTCCAGTCTCTTTCAAACTTCAAAGCACGGGAACCTTATTGGGAAATTCAGGCCCAATGACCTTTCCAGCCCAAAACAGGAGATCTATTTATCTTACACACACACACACACAAACACACTCACTCATATAGCTCTGACTATACATTCGGCAAAAACCTCTAAACTTTACATACTTTGCCAATCTCTGTTGGCGAGTGAAAAAACTCACCATGTCACGAGAACAGCTTTGTAGAGACATGGAACAAAACAACTTGCTTCTCCCATAATTAAACATTTCTGCATTTTTCTACACTTGAACCTGCATGACTACTCAGCTATAAGCTATGTACATGCAAATCCAATCAAACTCTTTAAATAGCTCCTTGGGAAGCGTGGTCTTTGTGCAGTTATTACAAAAATCTGAAACATGGATCCTTACCCATAGCGTACACTTTGTAGCACATTTTTCCCTTATTCCCTCAGCTGAGCTGCCATTGACAAAAATAACAGTCTGTAATGATCTGTCTACTCAGTGATTCACCTTGGTCATAGAACTTGTACTTTTCTTGAGTCGTAACTTAGAATACATCCCTGCTTATCACACTAATTCATTTCATATATCTCATATGGATTATAATCTTTGCCAGGACTTCTCATATTAGAGCTGTTTAGTGACTTTAATCCTCAGTACCTGAAAACTGATAGTCTCAAGATTTGCAGGAACACGAAATGATTTCCTTGTGTCATTGCTTTTTACTGTTGTGCATTTTCCTCCATTGAAGGAGTTATCAAGGATTTCTCCTCGACTCTCTCTGGATAGAAGATGAAAACTAGAAAGAGAATCAGAAGTTAAAAAAACAAAATAGGGCTAGAATCTAGTGTAAAACAACATTGCTAAAGACAACGCAAGTTTCTACAAACCAAGGTCTTGTCTACACTAACACTCTTCTTTCCCAAGCTAACCTATGCAACTTTAGCTATGAAAATAGAATAGTTACCATGGTTTCTCTCCTGTGGTAAGGTCAGCAGAGGCTACTACCTTGTTAACTCCAGCTACTCTTCTCCTCTTAGTGGAGTACCAGAGTTGATGGGCGCATGCTTGGAGATCGATTTATCACGTCTCAGCAGATGAAATTAATTAATCTCCAGTAGATTGACTGCGGCAGCCTCAATTCACCACATAGTGAGAACAAGCCCTAAGACTAGTGCTTAGATGGCTCATTATTGCATTCTGCATAGGAAACAGGGATTGCTGTGGCTCTGTGACTAGGTAGATGCAACTGCCAAGTGCCATCACTGGTGCTTACTTATATTCTTATAATTTTTTGATGCTCTTAAGAAAGAAATGCCAGATATTTAGTGCAGTTGGAGTCACTAATATACCGGTGCAGCCTTCAGATAGTTACTACCTCATTTATGTAAGAGTTCATGAGATTAAAACACATTAACATATGAAAAAGGCAAGTAGAAGCAACATACCCATTGCCCATTAACTGTACACTGGGGATGCTCTCATATCTCCTGTTACACACAGTCTTTATCCGTCTACAATTCCTTTCATCTGAGGTATCCCCACAGTCATTCTCTCCATTGCACTCCAAACTTTTGGCAATGCAGCGACCTGTTCCAAAGAAATTGCAGGAAACAAAAATGTTTTTCATACAATAGCTCTGTCCATTAGAATGAGGGTAAAACAAAGAAGTTCCTAATGCTTCATTAATTAGGGGTGTGAGTAGGCAAGAAGAAAAGAATTGTAAGGAAATAACAGTAATGGATAAAACTGACTTTGTTGTTCCAGTAGAGAACAGCTTCTCTTATTCTAATGGTTGTCTGCATACAGAATTGTCCTGGTTTAACTTAAGATTTACCAACGGCCTAAGTGAACATTCTTTCTTTGGTATAAATCAGGCTTATTTTAACTGAGGAACAGGCCAAAGCTAAACCTAGGTAAGCCACCTTTAAATCTACTTACAGAACTTTGCACTAGTTCATTTAAACTAGGTCTAAAACTCCAGAGAGCCATGTACATATGCAGAGGAACCCATGCAAAAAATCTCTTCTTATTAGAGCATTGCTGCTCTTCAGATAACAGCTCTTGCCAACAATCTGGGTCACAAATTGCCCTGGCACAACAAAAACAGAAGGAAGCAACAAAAAAAGTTGTAAAGCTCCTATTTTACACACAAGTACCTTGGCAATCTGATCTCTTTAACATCTTCTTTTCAAAAATCCACAAATACATATGAGGGATTTGGAGAGTACATACAGCACACCATTTTTCAAATAAGTAACCTATAACCTTTATTATTTGATTGAGCATCTGATTTGTGGGTTATGGAGTGAATAGCACCATTACCATTTTCACACTGAAACTTATTCCTGCAGTCAATTTCCTCTATGTTGCAAAGTTTAGTTGGGAAGCACCTTCGGGAATCCACCAATTGTTCAGTACAGGCCTGTCCCTTGAACTGAGATGGGCGCAGCAGGGACCTGACACGCAACTGAAAAGAAACACAGAAAAAAATGGGCTTATTTTTGTGTTTACCTATTTTCCAGCTAGCTAGTCTTAATGAGCAGGGGCAGAACTGTACACAGCTGGTTGCTGCTGACTAGAGATGGAGTTGCAGGAATTGCATGGATATAATTCTAGAATTAGGCAGAGCTAACTCAGACCCATTAGGTAACTTTGTCTGCAGTCAAGATTATGTTTTTTTCTAGGCTTTGTTTTTTGTGATTCATAACTGAATTAATATATTATCTATGTTGAGTTCCATGCATCATCTCCCAGACCATGTCATGTCTTCCAATTGTTTGGAATTCATTTAATTTTTTTCTTTGTACAGTATTTGTTTTGTAAATCAGACCCTTCTGTCTTCACGGCCATTTATATAAAAGCTGTCAAGCATCATCCAGAAGCCTGAGAGAGATTTGTACAAGGCTGGGAGGGAGCTTGTATGAAGATGGAGAGCAGGGTGGAGTAGATTATCAGTGTCCATAATTTTGTAGCTTGAAACAGGAAACTGCACTGCATCAGTATCTATTAGGGTATGTCTACATTTGCACCCCTTTTCGAGAGAGGGATGCAAATGAAGACTTTTGAAATTGAAAATGAAGCCAGGATTTAAATATCCCACGCTTCATTTGCATAACTGCATTATGGCGCTATTTTGAAATACAAAATGTGGTGTATATGTGATTATTTTGGGAGAACACCCTTCCTCCGAAATAACTGAGGAATCAGGGTTATTTCGGAAGAAGGGTGCTCTCCCAAAATAACCGCATCTACACCGCGTTTTGTATTTCGAAATAGCGCCATAACACGGTTATGCAAATGAAGTGCGGGATATTTAAATCCCAGCTTCATTTGCAATTTTGAATGTCTTCATTTGCATCCCTCTCTCGAAAGAGGGTGCAAGTGTAGACATACCCTATGTGATTAAAAACAAAACAGTATTTCATATATGTTTCTAAACAAAAATGGCACAAACAAGAGAGGCCGAGGGTTCTGAACCTGTAAAGTGTCAAAATGCACAGTGCTATCATGAGCTATTGCTCCCTGAAGCTCTCATGGTTTGTATGTGGGCCTGCTGCTGCATTTCCTGATTGCAGCTGTCAGTCTCTGTACCAGCTCAGTCTGGCTCTAGAGAGAAGATGGTGCAGGCTGATGGCAGAGCACCATCTCCACACACATGCCATTGTCTGAATCACATTGCAAGTAAAACATGTATGCTTTCCAACACAACCCACTCAGGCAGAGCAGTTTGCTGGCCTGAGGAGCCACAGGAAGCACGACTTAAGCAGATAAATGTCCGAAGTTCCATAGAAAATAACAATTGCCTAATGGAATCAGCCTATCTAACCTCAAATCCTCAGACAATAGCAGAGGAAGGTGTAGAATACCACAAGGGGATAATCTGCCCTGTGTGAGTGAAAACACACATGCCTTAGGGCATCCATGTGATGGGCAAGCTATTATATGTTTCTTTCTGGATTCATATTGCATTGCAGCAGCAGGGCTCTCTGGAAAATTAGCTTCCTGAACTGATCACATTGGATTCTGATAGACCATTGAAAATCTGACTCTGAAGATATAATTAGTTGCCTAAATACCTTTTCAAATCTTGCCTTTAGAAGCAGAGTTGGAATGAATGTTGAAAAAAGCAGTTTTAAGTTCCACTGCCAGAACTGTCCAGTATTTACATGCTTTTCATCCTTTTTAAAAAAACACTATTGGAGCAGATGATCCGATGCTATCCGTGTAATTACTCCTCATTTTAGAATGTTCTGACAAATATGGTGGAACATTCATAAAGCTCTATCATTTTGAAGTGTCCAAAGAGACCTGCTAACTTGGTGGCAAAATTTGCTACATCTACAGGGGATTTATTCCTAATTATGATACTGCCCCTTGAGAAGACTTGGCAGATTTGATGCCTTTTTGTATGAACATACATGTGACAGTGATTTATGGTATCTCAATATATTAGCTCTCTATTTTGAGCTGCTTCTTTTAATTGACGTCCTCTAATTCCTGCCCTGATAACATTTATTATTGATTTCCTCAGTTCCCAGTTTGCCATGTGGTTTAGTATCTGAAATGCAAATAAAACAGTCACCATTTCCTCACACTCACCCACAAAGTTTATTTTCTACCTACTTGTTTTTTAACACACGGGTCACATTCCGACCAAGAACCAAAGTCTCCAAGCTGACAGTTGATAGGACATGCCTGCTCGTTGCATGCCCGGGATTCCTGCTTTGTACACAATTGGTCACAGAAGTTTTTTGTATAATAATCATCCAATTTTATTTGCCTAAAATGTAAAAAAATAAAATGATTCATTGAGTTAGAGTCCAGTTAAAAAGTAGGAATAGGCTGTAACATTTGGATCCAGGTGCAGGCATCCTCCAATTTGGGGGTGGGTGATGTTCACATCTGTGTTTGGGGGGGTTCAAATTACTATAAGCATTGTGAAATTTGACAGTTGTGAAATTTAGCTCCAGCCAATCCAAACTTCCTCAATGTTCAGGGATTTAATTGAACAGGGATGACTCAGATCCATCTCTAACAGGGGGCCATCAGGTGTGGACAGAAAACAAACAAACAATTAAAAAAACCCCCAGAGATGAGCAGCTTCTTCTGTACACAAAAGAAAGAGAAGAATCCTGTTGATAAAGCTCGACGTGGATACAAAATTGACATCCACATCTGCATTTGCAAAAATGATCTGCAGATATTGGCATCCACAGCCATGGGTGCGGATACCCACGGATATAAAGCAGATATCTGCAAATCTGCAGGATTCTAGAGATACCATTTGAATTCCTGGATGAGGATATCTGTCAACATAAAGCTGATATTCATAGATTTGAAGAGCTCTACCTGTTGAAAGATATACCAGTGTTAACAAGGAAACCTGAACCTCAGTTTACCTTCTGGTGAAGAATTTAATATTTACAGGACAAGCTTTTTTTGAGACTGCTCAATTTGACTTCTTCAGACCACATTGTGGATCATAGTCTGCTATGAAACGCATCGATATCACTATGAGTTGGTTTGGATGGGTGGCTCACTCACATACATGCTGCTTACCAGAACAATGTATCATTAGTAGAATATATTAATATTGGGTTGCTCTGTGTTCTTACTACAAGTTTTATCAGCATAAAGCATTCACTTGGAGACAATTTTTTTTCTGAGATTTTTAAATGAACGTTGTGATGAGATTTTAAACTTTTCATAGCTAGTCATTATCTAAGTAGTGTAATGACAGCCCAACTTTTCTTTTTTCCTTACTGGTTATGGGTACAACTCGTCTACTCCCCCCCCCCCCAAAAAAAAGGATTTTTGCAGTGTGTACTGAAAGTCCTTGAAAACAGGACAGTGAAGAGAGAAAATCAATATGGTAATGCATACCTACCTTTCCCTGGTCTGGGTTCCATAATTGCAAGTTTTTGAGCAGCTAGACCATGATCCCCAGGGGTAATGGTCACAGAAGCACCCCACGCTGCTCCCAATCACTGTGCCCAGAAGGATAATGTAGACTAGCATACTCTTATTTGAAGGTGCCCAGCTGCACAAACATGAATATACAGTACAAGAGCAATATAAATCAGATTATACACATTTGGTGCCCATCTCTTAGTAATAATTAGTTTTAGAATTATATTAATTTTGAAAGTACAGTAAGGCAGAGATCTCATCCAAAATACAACACAACCGAATGAGATTTCTGGAAAGCAATTATTGTTCGAGGGATCTCTTTGTTAATACTTTATGAACCAATCCTGTGTCACACAGGTGAATAGTGGTATTGCTAATAACTTAAATGGGAGTAGGTTTAGCATCCAAGACAGTAGTCACTATACCATTTCTGATTATTAAATTGTTTAAAACTTGGTCGTATATGTGACCAATAGTGACTTGATCCTGCTCTCCTTCCTCAGGGGTATTCCGAACAGATATTTACCTTGAATAAGAATAGGAGTAGGAACAATATTTGTTTCAAAATAAGCCTGAAACAAAAGAATACTATCTGCCCAATGAACCAAGATCAAATACACTTTCCCCTGGTCTACACTGGGGGGATAAGTTTGAATTAAGATACACAACTCCAGCTACATTCATTGCGTAGCTTAAGTTGAAGTCTCTTAACTTGAATTTTTGGTGCCATCCACACTGCAAGAAGTCAAAGGGAACACACTCTCCCTTTGGCTTCCCTTACTTTTTTGTAGGAGCAGGACTACTGGCATAGGTGGGAGCACTCTCAGTGAGAATTAGTATGTCTTCACTAGGCCCACTAATCTGAACCCAGGAAGATCAACTGTGGCTGCTTCAATCTTATCTGTAGTGTAGACATGGCTTTTCACTCTAATCCTTCAGTGGGATTAGTCACAAGCTTAAAATGAGCCATTGTGCTTTAGTACTTTGCTCCAAGGAGCCACTGTTTCTACAGCTCTGTCTTGATGTACCACCAAAGACATTTGATTTCCAGTTTTATTTCACTGGGCTGCCTGTCTAAGTTACAAACTCTCGCTTTCTCAGGTTCAGCCAGTTTCCCTGCTTCCAGCAGCAGAGAACACAGCTAGGGGTGAGTGCTATCCACATGTATATAATGCGTGATCAGATTACAGAATAGTCCTTAGAAAAGGGTATTTAGAACACATGCAAAGCTCTTTAGTGTGTTTCTTCAATGACAAATCCCTGGAAGGAAGATTGATTTTTGACAAATGTATTATTCATATTTAACAGAAGGAGCAACTGAACACAGAAGTTAAGTGATTTGCCCATGCGTAAGTAGCACAGCAGAGATTAGAACTTTTGGCTTTCCTGGAGCCCCTGCTTCCCAGTCCCCCGTTAAAACAACCTATAGTACCCGCCCCTTAAAAACAACTAAACGCTGTTCTTCTCATGTTACTCGGTTCTGCCTATGTGCAGATAAAAGCTCACTTGTTCTGATTTGCTAGAATAGCTATAATAAATACACAGACAATTACCAATATTATATCTATATTGTGTACACTATACTAATGAATTAATTCATTTAAAAGTAGCAGGACTTACCCTGGTGCTTCACATAGACTGAAATCAAAAGCTAATTTACCACAAGATAGCTGGCAGCAAAGTCAGTGTCACAGTTTTATGTAACCTCTGCCTGATTTGAAAGGTATTTCAAAACCTTTTCAAGAGATGCAGAGGTTCTGTTTGTTGTAGTTACATGTTAATCAAACAAAGAGCTGCTGGTGAGATTATAGCTTTCAGACAAACTGGCTGAATGTCAGCATCTGTGTGATTACTTTTTAAAATGCATCTTATGCTTTCGTGTTGTGCTAGAAATTCCTCTTTATACTATGTAGACTTTTGGGAATATGCAATTCTTTTAAAGTGGTCATTCAGAAAGACACACATGCACATGGAAACACACACTTTTCTACAGTGTAGGAGGCTGAGTAATGCTTATTTGCAAAACACTGGGCATGTATGGAAAACAATGAACTTTATATTGTAGTACTGATCCATTATGTCTATGGGAAGGTAGATGGGATCGTTTCTATTATCTGCAAAACCCAGGGAAAAACAGACATGGGATGATTTATGTAATAGCTGGTCAAACATCAAATGTAAAAAAGAAGAAAATATAGTCCTATCAGCGTGTGTGTGTGTATATGTAGCCCTTCTGCTGGATAGGCAGGCAGCAACCAGGGCTGGGTTCAATATCTAGGGGTCCATCTTACACAGAACTGGCTCGAGCCCCCACCCAGTAGCCTGGGAAATTCACACATCCCTGGGCGCCTCTGAGAGGCAGTGCTTCCCCACTTGCAAGCACAGAGTCTGAGTGTAGAAAAGAAACTTTTAATGAAAGAGAGAGAGAGAGAGAGAAGTGACATGGCACTAACTTGGGAAAATACTGTGAACAGAGTTCATAACCCCCCACGAGTAACTGTCCCAGCTCAAATGAATTGAGCAATGTCCTTGGCCTCTCAGGTTCACTAGTCCAACAAGGTAAGGGTACCATTCACTTACCCAAACTATTCCCGTACCCCACTTCAAACGCCCCACTTACAGCTCTGTCCAGTCAGTGCAGACCCAGACACATCACCCTGAGGACTTCCTTCATAGAGACTGATGTGATGCCACCTGTGTGCTGTCCCTGCTGCCCGCTGGTTGTTCCTGCCAGACACTTCGCTGGCCACCTGCCGCTGCTCCTACCGGCCCCACACCATTCCCCCCCGCCCATACCCCATTCCCACCAGCCGCTCCACTGGCTGCAATGGGTCTGGCTCCAGGCCAAACCAGTGACTTCAGCTCTTAGTGATTTCAACCCTTTAGCCACCAACTAGGCTGGCAAAAGATTCCAGATTCCACTGGAGTCTGCTTTAGTTCTATCCTTAAAATAAGGGGGAAAGAGGCTGGTTGAGCCAGTCTTACAGCTCACACCTGGCAGGCACGAAGCAGGCTAACTCAAGCCCTTTAGCCCTTTCCCCCCAACTCCATTCACTCAACTCTGGAAGGGGGAGGCTCATTCCTCTGAGACCTCTTACAATGATGGTGTCTCTTCTGCAAGCACTGGTGTCATATTTTACAGTTCTCACATTTAGGGGCAGCATGATTTGTGACCCCCAAATTAGTTACAGTACATCACATTCCATTCCAACACTGATCTTCCATCAGCCCTGGCTGAATGGGATTTACATAACCACACCTCGGATTCCTTCCCCCTCCTGGAATGAACTGTATTTACATATCAACACTTAACAGTTAATTATCTTTCAGGGCTAAACAATTGGAGTGAGCACACCCACCCCCAGAGCAGCTCTCTCCTTCTAGCTGGCTGATAGCAAGCAGTAATTCAGACCCTTCTTACATTATATATCTATATAGATATATAGAAAGATTTCTTTAAAGCAGGGGGGGGAAACCTTTTTTGGGTGAGGCCCCACTGACCGATAGAAAAACCAGCTGGTGGCCACACACAAGTGAGATTTTGTGTACTCCAGCCCTGTGGTAGAGAGACATGGAGGGGCCCTGAGCCTAGGGGACTGGGTCCAGGAAAGCCAGGGTCTGCAGCTGGTCCCTGGGCCTGAGGTTCCCCACCCCTCCTTTAAAGAGTCACCTTAAATCTCTTTGGTTGGATTCTCAGCCGCTCTAAACTGGCATAGTGTAAACTGGCTTAATTTATAGTAGGGCTATCTGAGACTCTGGCCCATCACTTTTTAATATTGAGATTTTTAAAGGCAGATTTCATAAAACTATTATATTTCACCAAAAGCAAAATAGAACCTACTATGCACACTCTTCTCTGGATTTTGGTAAAGAAGCACTGAATACTAGAGTTCGCAAGACACATCTTTCCCTTTCCCTCCTCCAGTAAAGAGGCTGTCATCACTTAAACACTGTGACAGCACAACTGGGAGTTAAAGTCTGCTCTTTACACAAAGGTATATGATGAAACCACTGTATCTCAGAAAAATATCCTACTATTTAAGAATGGGGGAAATAACTAATACTCCTGCCCATACATGACAGAATAGCTACTACTCTTCTGTATTCCTGGACTGCAACTTCTGTCATGGGGACCTCAGTTCCTGTTTCCTGCTTATGTCAAATTAATGCCAAGGGCTGCAGATTAAGGATGTTAAATATTCAGTAATTTATTAGTCGAGTAGTCGATGGAATTTCAACTACTCAATGGCATTTCAAAGCCATGCTGCATGGAGCTGACCCCGGGCTCTATGAAGCGCTGCCCCTGTGAGCCTGGGATCAGCTGTGAGGCATTGCCCCTTTGAAACACCACCACAGCATTTCAAAGTGGCAGCACCACACAGAGTCCAGGCACAGGCTCCATGCGGCGCTGCCGCCTTGGCATACACTCTCTTCCCCCATTCCTTTGCTGCCTCTACCTGATAGATGCAGCAAGCGGGGGGGAATCGACTAGTCAACTCGACTATCCAATAAGCAAATGCTTATTGGCTAGTCGACTAGTCAACTAGTCCATAACATACTTACTGCAGATTTCCTTGGAATGCCTGATAACTCACTACAATTCAACTTCCCATTTGAGAACAACTGGTTTTGGTAGAAATTCAACTAAAGTGTGACAAGTTCTATAATAAATTGCATTTATTATAAATGCAATTGATAAACTAGGCAAATATAACTTAGATAGGGCCACGATAAGGTGGGGGCATAATTGGCTGGATAACCGTAGTCAGAGAGTTGTTGTTAACGGTGCTAAATCCTGCTGGAAAGGGATAACAAGTAGAGTTCTGCAAGGGTCTGTTTTGGGACCCGTACTGTTCAATATCTTCATCAATGACGTAGATATGGGGATAGAGAGTACGCTTATTAAGTTTGCAGTTGATACCAAACTGGGTGGGGTTGCAACTTCTTTGGAGGATAGGGACATAATTCAAAATGACCTTAGCAAGTTAGAGAAATGGTCAGAGGTAAACAGGATGAAGTTTAATAAAGAGAAATGCAAAGTGCTCCACTTAGGAAGGAACAATCAGTTCCATACATACAAGATGGGAAGCGACTGTCTAGGAAGGAGCATGGCGGAAAGGGATCTAGGGGTCATAGTGGACCACAAGTTGAATATGAGTCAACAGTATGATGCTGTTGCAAAAAAAGCAAATATGATTCTAGGTTGTATCAACAGGGGTGTTGTAAGCAAAACTCGTGAAGTCATTCTGCCGCTCTACTCTGCACTAGTTAGGCCTCAGCTGGAGTACTGTGTCCAGTTCTGGGCGCCACATTTCAAGAAAGATGTGGAGAAATTGGAAAGGGTACAGAGAAGAGCGACAAGAATGATTAAAGGTCTAGAGAACATGACCTATGCAGCCAGGCTTCATGAACTGGGCTTGTTCAGTTTGGAAAAAAGAAGATTAAGGGGGGACATGATAGCGGTTTTCAAATATCTAAAAGGGTGTCACAAGGAGGAAGGAGAAAATTTGTTCCTCTTGGTTTCTGCGGACAGGACAAGGAGTAATGGGCTTAAAGTGCAGCAGGGGAGGTTTAGATTGGACATTAGGAAAAAATTCCTAACCGTCAGGGTGGTCAAATATTGGAATAAATTGCCAAGGGAGGTGGTGGAATCTCCCTCTCTGGAGATATTTAAGAACAGGTTAGATAGACATCTGTCAGGGATGGTGTAGATGGAGCTGGGTCCTGCCTTGAGGGTGGGGGCCTGGACTCGATGACCTCTTGAGGTCCCTTCCAGTCCTATCATTCTATGATTTAGACACAAACTATGAGTTCAATCCAGCACAGAATATCAATCCTGTGTATTCTCCAGAAGGCCTCGGGATGAAAGGTCATCCCAAAGAAGCCAAAGACCAAATACACAGACTGCTGCATGACTGAGATTATTTCAACAGCTACTTTGCAGCTTGTCCTGCACTGTTTTCACTAGACTGTGGGTGGACACAAAGACTAATGAAGAAAGTATTAAAGGTGGGTAATTCTCCTTCATGACTGTATCTGAGGGAAGCGTAGACTGATGAGTTTTGTTATAGAGATTTGGTTTAAGGCAGTTTCCTGAGGGAGGGTGTGATGGCTGTTGCTCTGAGGCAGGGATTGCTGCTAGTGAACCAGGAGTAAGCTTCATTCCAGACCCTACAAACAATAGCTATACCCTTCCTTCCAGAACCTTCACACTCTAGCAGTCACTTAGGGAAGATTTACAAAGGCACTTAAAGATGCACATGGACCTACTGGGATTTTCAGCAGCATCTTTATGTGCTTCATGCCCATGGCTGTAAGTGCCTAAACTGCTTAGGCACTCAATGGGGTTTATAGCAGTTCCTATCTGCATCTTCAGGTGCCTTTATATCTTTTAAAATCTGGTCAATCCAGACTAGCTTCTTCCAAGTTTTAGGACTATGTTAGATTGAAAACAATTTGGCACAGGGTCAGTCCTTGCATCTTATGTTATCCAGCACTACAGGGATCTGGTCTATGACTAGGGTTCCACCTGGCCTAGATAGTAGGATATGTTGAATGTTTGAGGCGAGCATGTCCCATCACCACCAAGAGCACAACTTCCATGGTTCCCTTTCTCGCCAACCCAAGTGAATCTCTGGAAGTGAGCTGTTAGCCACAGTATAGTGCAATTTTATTGCTTTAATTCCTTTGTTATTTTTATATTACAGTACTGCCTAGAG